AATGACTACAGAAACTAAGTTATAACAAAGAGGACACCACAAAGGATGGCCATCTCTGGTGAATGTTTTAAAGAAGATTTCCTCATGGGGAAGGAGGTTGAACCAACTATCTCTCACGACTCCTCTAAATCTCAGTATCTTTGAAATAGTGAACCATAATAAAACAAAGTACAGAAGAAAAAACTGTAAAGAAATATTACCCTCTGCTTTAATATATTCTGTGACTGCTGGCCCACTTCCCACTTAGCTTCAGACCAGTGGGCTGGCCTTGTGTCATGTTTCAAAAGACTTACACATCTGTAACCTATTTCTTCTTGAAGGAAACCTGGTCCTTACCACACATCCATCCCCCCGCCGACAATCTGTCCTTTGGACAGTCCTGGGGGTGGCAGGCCCTCCTTTCCCTCTGCCAGTCGCACCTACCCTGAGTTGTGGAGAGAAAGCCCTGCTCAAACACCAGATGCCCCAAGAACAGTGTCCTCTCTGACAGCCCCTAGCCCAGTGATGGTGAACATTTTAGAGACAAGCACCCAAACTGCAACACAAAACCCACTTATTTATAGCAAAATGCCAAAATACAATGAAATCTGAATACTGAGGTTTTAGCTTATCAAAAACAATGCATATATTAACACCTTTTGTCTTAAAAGAAAAACCATTCAAGTCTAGGTTCGCCACCACTGGCTCGCCTGTCTCACCCTTATTCCTCTACCCTGATCACCTGGGCAGAGGCATCGGATGCCAGGATGCAGATGGGGTGGTTTCTCAGCATCGATGCAATTTGGGAGAGAATAATCAAGAATCGTGCTGAAAGGACAGTAATTCACACAGGTCGGTCTGTTATATACTTAGGCCAATATGTTTATGTATGTTTGGGTTTGAGGAGTTTTTATCAGCTCCAAAATAAATCCTACCCTCCACTGGCACGTCTGTGGGAAATGGGAGCGAAGAGTGGCGAACAGCCGAGAGGCACATATCACGTGTATATCTTATCTCACTCTTCTCAAAAACTCTGTCTCATAGAGCGGAGACCTAAACTGTGAATCTTAGGTTATTCAACTCTCCCACCCAGAGTCATGCAACCAGTAACTGGCAAAGCAAGGGTTAGAACGAGATTTGTTGGTTTCATAAGGTTTTATTTAGCCCATTAAAAACATATACTTTTGCTAAATTTTTCTGAGTGCCACATGATTTGGAAAAATGTTCAAGAGTGAATGTAAAAATCATACTTATAACAATAATAATTCAGCTAAAATTTCTTGCTATAGGTAATTAAATTGAATTATTTTGAATATAATGATGCTGCTGTATTAGCAAGACAGACAGCTTAGAGATGCTCACTGCTGAGCACAAGAGTCATTTAATCTAAACAAGGTAATTCACACATTTGATTTGCCTAAAGCTCATAAACTGCCATTTCATTAAATCATGTTTTCATTTACGTAAGATGCCTGTCATAGAAAGCTATTTTATTGTTATAGAAGTTAGAATAGTATGGTATGTTATTATTAAATCATGAGCAGATAAAAACAAGTACTTTTTAGAAGAAAATATATTAGCTATATTAATTTATTTACCCATTTAATAAATAATAATTGAGCATCAGCCGTGTGCTGAGTGGGATTCTAGACACCTGGGGTACAGCATATTTCCTCCATGGAGTAAGTGGATGGAGCTAGAAATTATAGGGGGCAAATAATGGCCCCCCAAACTGGTCAGACCCTAACCTGTAGAGCCAGTAAACATTACTTTATGAGGAAAGAGAGCCTTTGCAGCTGCTATTAGGGACCTTGACATGGGGAGATTTATCCTGGCCTGTAACAGTGGACCCTAAATGCAGTCACATGTATCCTTCAAAGAGGGAGGCAGAAAGATTTGTCAGATACACAGGGGAGAAGGCAATGTGAAGGTAGAGCAGAAAGCCATTTGAAGGTATTGGCTTTAAAAACCGGAGCAATGTGGATACAAGCCAAGGAATGCTGACAGTCACCAGAAAGTGAGAGAGATGTGAGGTGGATTCTCCCCTAGAGCTTCCAGTGTTTGGGAACCCTACTGACACCTTGATTTCAGCTCAGTGATCCTGGCTTTGGACTTCCAGCCTTCAGACTGGGAGAGAATAAATCTGTCATCTTGGTGGTTTTAACCCACCAAGTTTGCAGTCACTTCTTACAGCAGCAACAGGAAACAAAACCAGGCATGCACAAATAAACATGATTGCATCAGTGGTCATTGATAAAAATGGAAAATGTGATAAATAGTAGTTGAAGGGCACAGCCAGCAAGTGCAGGACAGCACTTGGGAGGCACCCATGAGGCTGGAACAGGAGCAATGCGGAGAGGACAGCTAGGATCCACAGGTGTGGGGAGCACACTGACAGCAGGGCAGACCAGGGCAAGGTGATGCGATCCTGTCAGAGAGACAGGCCATGGCTCCTTGCGCGGGATTTCTCAGCCACAAGGAGGAGACTGGATTCTGATTCATTGGCTGTGAAGACATTGAAAGATTTTTAACAGTGAATGACATGATCTGCTTTCTAGAATACAGACATGCTCATACACTGAATGGATTATAAGGACCAAAGCGAAAGCAAGGAGGCTGGGCCAGAGCATCACAGAACGGTGATGCAGGTGGCTGGTACTAAGCTACCACTTTGCTCCGAAAACCAGCTCCTACTTTGATTGACGTTATCACTATTTTCTCAGTGACCTAGAGCAAGAGTTTGCGTGGCCCTTCTCACTCTCTTATCCCAGTATCCCTTCTCCCTCCCTACACATGGTCAAGTGGTTGCCAAATCTATGTGAATCCCAACTCGCTGCCACCAGTCCATTGCCACTGGCCTACTTTTGCTCAGGCCCTGCTTGCATCTGTGTTTTGCCTGGATGAGTAGAGCAGAGGACCCACTGAATAGCTGGGTGATTCTGGGTGAGTCACTTTGCTTCTCTTTCTGGGGAATTATTGTGTGTAAAATGGTGAAAACAACAGCCTCTCTTCCTAGTAAGGTGTGGGGACTGCATGAAATAACAGACACAAGGTTCTTGGAGCAATGAATATCTTTAATAAAAAAGAAATCTTAGCTGCCACCGTCTTCTTCATGGTTTCCATCTCACTCACCCTGAGTGGTCCTCTTCCCTGTTCTCAAGCCTTCCACTCACCATGATGGGATCAGTCTTCCTAACAAGCTGCTTCGATCAGTTCCCTCTCCTTGGGGGCCTCCAGTAACCACAGACCCTTCCCACAAAGTCAGAGCTCACAGCCTAACTCTCCGCCCCTTCTTCCTGCCTTCCCACCTCCCAGTGGACTTCCACACCACAGCCAAACACTGACTCACTTTTCCTGAACACAAGCACGGCTGCATTTGCTTTGCCTTCCAGGCCTGTCTCTCAGTTTCCTCCGCCCGTGTCTCCCCGCACCACAGCCAGCCGCTCAGGGCCTCCTCTGGTGCCTATGAGGGCTGCAGTATCCAGTCCTGGAAACACTTCCTCCAGGTCCTCATCCTTTTCTTCCCTGGATAGTCTTTTATCTGCTTGCCTTTGTTGGGGTGGACTACAGACCCTCTTTTCTGCCTACTTTATCAGAAGACCTTGCTCAAAACAATTTAATTTGAAGTTGTGACCTAAACAGAGCAAAACCAAGCCCCTCCTGAGGTTCTCAGGCCTGAGAAGGTGGGAAAGGAGCTGTAGTTCCCATTGCCTAGTACAGAGGTGTTCATTTTCCTGAGAGGCAAGACCTAAGGCAGGCAAATTGGAAACCTGCAGTTTCTCCACTAGGATCAAGTTATGTGGTGCCTGAGGCAAAGATGTATTTATCTTGTTAGCTGACCTAATACGAGAAGGAAGGAGGAGGACCAGTTAGGACAAGGATGAAGATGAAGATCACGAAGAAGATGAGGATGTTTCGATCCAACCTGAAAAGGCAATGAGCCTACCCATAGTTCTCCCAGGCCAGTCCGCCTCAGTCCAGAAGCAGGGATGACTGAGCAGGAAGCACCACTGCACATGTCACAGAAGCTGTAAGTTACTGAATTTTCAAAAGAAACCCTCAGAGAGGCAAGAATTTTCCTGGCACAGCCATGGGGTGCCTGCTTTGAGAGACCTGAGAAAGTGGCTACAGGGAGGATGAACAGAGGGGAGAAAACTCAAGATCGGAGCTGGCAGAGCGTCCATGGAGACCATCTCCTTCACAGGCCCATCCGGAGGGTTTGGCAGAAGTGCCTACCTATAACTCTAATTCTGATCCTACATGTGGAAAATTACCTTGGGAGGGCCTATCCAGCGATTAACATTCTCAGCTGCTTCCCCACTCAACACAGGCACACACATTCATAGAAGAAAAGAGAGCTCCACACTGGGGTCAGAAAGGATTGAAATGCATATTTTGGTCCTCTTCTCACTTTCTCTTCCCTTTCCCCAAAGGAGGAGTAGGAATAGGGCTTATTTGTAATCCAAGAGAGGCAGAAGTTTCCTGCAGCCACATCCTACATGTGAGGGGATGCTTGACCTGAAAAGCAGGAATCAAGCTTGGCCCCCTTTTACTTTCAGTGTACCCTTTTCATTCCCCAGCTGCACTGTGGGTCACAAACCACACAGGCTAAGCCTGACAGGCTCTGCCCTCTCTGTTCTGTCTCCACCTGTGAACTCAGTGAGAGGAGGTCAGCCAGGGGAGGGGGGCCTCACATAATTCATACCTGGAGGAAGGAGTAAGAAGACACATTCTGGCCCCAGGTACCCCACAATGTCACTGGGCACTTTCTGCACCCACAACAAAGTAGAACCCACCTTTTGTTCCCCAATCTGGAAGCTGATATCATCATTAGATTTATCAGAACTCAAATGGAAACTCCTGATCAATAAACATTTGGGAAAGAACTCCATGCATCTATACTGCAGATGGAAGTATTGTCCTTGGGGAGATCTGAAGCAAGGATGGTCCAGGAGGACCTGGTTCTGCTCCAGCCCTTTGGGTGGGTCACCTCTGAGAGCACCTGTGGGATCTAAGGCACAGAGGAGATTCATGATCAAGGGATACCAGACCCAGAAGCTTAACTTCTTCATTGAGCTCCAAGGACTGGCAGGGGTCTTCTGAAGGCAAAAAACTTCAGGGATCTGAACACATCTGGTAATAAGCTCTTGACAATCTGGAACTGGGTCATACTCATCTTTGTATTTAACTGCCAATCCCTGAGCCTGGCAGAAAGTAGGAAGCCCACTCACATTTATTAGACTGGATTAAAGCAAGATTGAGCACAATTTTCTGTATGAATTTCAGGATGAAGTCAAAGGGTATGGGCTCTGCTGAGGTAAAAAGAATTCCCTGAAAACATCACTGGGTGTCTCACTTGAATAGGAAGTAAAGTGACACTACCAAGTAGAACCAGAATCTTTAAATAGAAATAAAGGACTCTGAAAAGAAAAAATTGTAAAGGAAAGGGGGAAACTTTCAGGTTGTTTAGGTTTCATTTCTTGTATTTTCTGTACAGCTTATATTTCTAACTTTAGTTGTAATACAGATCCTCCCTCGTCCTTCATCTCTGCTGGTACTGATTAATGCATGAAAACATACACCCACACATGTGCACACATGCATGCGTATGCACACATGCACGTGTACATGTGCGTGTACACACACACACACACATACACACACACATGCCTGTGTCTCTCGTAACTGATTATGTGTTATGTTGCTGTTCAGAACAGAATCCGCAAAGAAATAAAGACCTACTGAGATTACAACCACAAATATTTTCCCAGGCATGGGAACCATCTTGTCGGGGCCTATTAGGCCTAGGAGCAATGATCCAGAGGCCTGCCATTTCCTGGTGACTATGGACAAGGTAGGTTGAATTGATGGCCCAAGATTCTGCCTTAGGGCATTAACTTCAGTCAGTTATTGAAGTTACTGCTAGTTTTGAAATAGTGTTTGCTTTAAATCTCAAATAATGTAAATCTCACCAGCAGGAAGAGTCCCTCTGAAGCTACTCCAGCTCTGGTAGAAAACCAGAAAATATGCTGTGAAGTTAGGAGGAAGGGAGGACCAGGCCTGACACAACGATCATCTGTACCATGCAGAGAAGAGAGGAAGACTTCTGTTTTGTTTTGTTTATGTGCCACAGAGAAGCCACTGATTTGAGTTTCAAATTATGGCATAATGGTTCATTTACGCAAACCATAAATGAGCTTATGTAATGTTCTTATGAATAACATACACACCAATCTTGGCAGGCATTTCTCCCTTGTTAATTCTTATATTTTGTTTGTATTTAATACACCATTAAGATCTAAAGTCCTAAAATTTGTTCATTCAACCAAAATTTACTGGCATGCACTGTGTTCCCTGTTAGGCAGAGGGCTCTAGGGACTCTTTCAAGCTTCCAGTCTATTGAATGAGATCAGACATGCTTAGAAGGAAGTGCAATTACAACCCTGCCCTCAGGGCCGTGAGAGGGCGCATTCATCACAAACTGGGTGGCCTAAAGTAACAGAAATGTATCCTCTGATGCTTCCAAAGGCCAGAAGTCTGAAATCAAGGTGTTTGCAGGCCATGGTCCCACAGAAAGTTCAAAGGGAGGTCCCTCTCCTTTGCCTTCTTAGTTTCTTTTTCTTAGCAGCAATCCTTGGCTGTTTTTGGCTCTGCCCTCCCCATCACATGCTGTTCTCCCAGCACATCTCCATCTACCCGCGGGCTCCTGGAAAGACACCAGTTATCCTGGAATAGGAGCATACCCACTCCTGTGCGATCTCATCAGAACTAATTATATGTGCAACAATCCCATTTCCCACTAAGGCCACCTCTGAGGTACTGGTGCTAGAACTTCAACCCTTGGTGTGTAGTTGGGAGTCTGCACCCAATTCAATCCATAACCAATGTGCCTTTAAAACATGACTCCTTCTTGTGAAGGGGAGCAAAGCATGAAGGCTGCATTCTTACTCTGTGTGCAGAATTGAAGGTGGGGATACAATCCAACTCATCTGGCCAAAGGGGCAGCACCTCCTACTGGAGCTGATCCGTGTTTGTCCTGACGTGGTGCAGCCCTAGCACAAGCCCACAGAGCCTCTGAGGTCTGACATGGGAAGTGTTTGCCTCTACCTTCTGTTGTCCTTTCTCTTCTCCAGTGCATCTTACTCTGTACCCTGGAGTGAACATCTAGATATGAACCAAACAATTCATACCCGGGGCTTTCAGAAGGTTTTAGTAGTTTCACTTCCAGTCACCTATTTATCTTGAACAAAGCAGTGTGGAGAAGTCTGTCACCAGCCATCTCTTCGGAGCTGGTATACTGAAGGGCAGTCCAGACATGGTCACTAGGGCAACGCTTCAGGCCTGTAGGCTTGGCTTCTGGGCTGGACCACTGTTAAGCTTGTGTCTACACAGCTTCTCTCAAAGGAGAAGGCTTTATGAGACCAAGAAAGAGAGCTCAGGAGGAGAGTTACTTTAAGGTCTCTTGTCTCTCTGACACCCAAAACAGCACCACAACCATTGCTTGGTAAGGGCTCCTGGCAATGTTAGCCTGGGGAAAGTATCAGGATGCAGAGGGCAAGTTGCCACAGCTCAGGTCAACAGCTCCTATCTTGCTATCCTCTGCGTACCCCAGTCCTACCTGCGCCCCAAACAGAACAGGTAAAGAGGATGCACACTGGGCATTGGTCACTCCTTCCTGTTCATGCTTCAGAAACCTAGTCGGCCTGACTCAGCGATGGGAAGATCTTTACACAGGATGAGGTATGAGACTGTTACCTTGTTATCAGAATATCAGACTGTTTTAGGGGCTTTTTCTTTTGTTTTCTTGAAACAGAGTCCTGCCTTGTAGTTCAGACTGGCCTTGAACTGACTATGTAGCCCAGGCTGGCCTCAAACTTGTAGCAATTTTCCTACCTCAGCCTGCCGAGTGCTGGGATGAGAGGTGTGGTGGGCTATTTTAGAGTTTTTAATATATGACAATAACAATGTGCTTTATAACCTGGAAGTAACTAGGAAAGCCACATGCTCTGTCACAGATACTGTCCAAGGTCAGAAAAGACTTGTACTGGAAGACAAAGGTGTGAAAAATTAGACTGGCTACTGATGGTGACATATTGTGTTCATCTGAAACCTGTGTGTTGACAAGAAGATTGATAGGAACTGACTTACGGAAAGGTCAGGTGTGTCTTGAACTAGTAGCGCCATGCATGAGAAACAGAAGTCCTTAGTGGATTTATCACGGAATACTCTCACAGCCTCCAGGCTGACAGGTGTTAGTGGTAAAGGCTCTCCCTGGGATGTCTCCCTACTCCCCACCCCTCTCTGTCTTCTCTACTCTTTTGCTAGTATAGTCAGACCTTGGTTTTTGACTGCTTTGAAACTGTTGAATTTGGTCCTCAACGCATTTTGATGCAAAAATTTGTCCTTGCATTTCTCATTTGTTAGGTCCTCAGAGTGTAGGTCAGAACTTACTGGTTGCCTGCCTCCTGACTGCCTCTTTCCAGCCAAAACAATTTGTTTGGTCCTCATTTTCTGTACTCACCATGCCTTGCACTGTCTTGGTTACTTTTCTCTCATTGCTGAGACAAAATACCTGATGCCTAGAATTAAGGAAGGAAAGATTTATTTAGCTTACAGTTTGTGGAGATTTCAGTCCATACTCGCTGGCTCCAAGGCAGAGTGGCACATGGCAGAGGGCAACAGTTCATGGTGCAGAAAACAGCAAAAGCAACAAAAGCAAAAAGGGAAGAGCTGCAGCAAGCAGTCTCTTTCTCTCCCTTGCACTGTATGCAGGCTCCCTGCCCCAGGGTGGGTATAGCACTCACACCCATAATCCCAACTTTGGACCATGAATCAATCATAAACTCTAGAAGCCCGCCCCATGACTTTGGGGGGACATCCAGACACAAGCCATAACACAGAGCAATGGGTACTGAGGTACCACTGTGCAGTTTCCCCACGGAGCCAGCCCTCTAGGTTCGTAGCCTCCACCTTGCCCTCTTTCTAACTTAAAACCCTGTCCCTCCCCAAGGAAATTCCAGTCCTTTGGTTCCTTTCCTTGTGTTGTAAACTTGAATTGCCAGGGTTCAGCCTGCTGCTAAAAAGGGTGTCAATTTAATCCCATAGCAGCAAAAAGAAATTCAGACTAAAAAGAGGCTGGGCATTTCCTTTCCAAAAGGGAGAAGATGGTGTGGGCCACACCTTGTTCCATGGTTGCCTAGGAGCTTAAGAAAGAGCAGTGTTCGCTGGACTCAAACCTAGGAGACCAAATCTGCATTTGAAGAAGATCTTCCTCTATGAACATTAGCATTTAAGAAGCACTTCTCTCTCATCAGCAGAAATCAGAACAGGGCAGCCATCTAACCAGATGTCACATATCCTGACTGATGTCAATGACATTCCAAATGAAATGCCAGGCTGGATACCACATCCTACATCCCATATGCTGCCTGTGAGCTTTGGGATTCAAAGTAATTTTTCTCCTCTCAGCCATTCATTGAATGGTAATTTCTTTTTTTTAAAACATTGTTTTGTTTGGTTTTTTTTTGACACAGGGTCTCTCTAAACAGTTCAGGCTGGCATTGAATTTCCAGCAATCCTCCTGTCTCAGCCTGTCCAGTGCTGGGATTACAGATATGTACCACCATGCCCACCAGTGTGCAGAATGGCAATTTCTTAACATCTATCTGATAAGGATTTTTTTCCTTTTTTATTAATACATGTTTGCAGTATATAACGACTACATTCATCGTGGGGAGACGATACATGTACATAACCCATCTTAATTCTTTTTGTAAAATCCTTTGCACTCCCCTCACACTCCTTCCTTGGAATATACATGTTTTTTAAAAAACTTATTTTTGATGTTTCTATAGTCATGCTGTCTTATCTGTCCTTGGAAAAGTGTTTTGTCACAGCAGATTTGCAACCAGGTCCCTAGTAGGGATGACTGGAACAAACTTGTGACATCTACTTTCCAGTAAGAGCACTGCGTGCCATGGGGTCAGTGCCCGCCAGCACGGGGCTCTGGAAGGAGCAGCCAGGGGAGGAGACACTGGACACCGCTGCTGCCCTCAGAGCTCTAAAAGCTGGGAATGTTCACTGGAAGTTTCTTTCCCATCCCTCACAGTGAATTTCACAGAACCTGGCTGGTGTAAAGAGCAAAACAAGATCTCTAGAGGAAGCTAGAACATTCTCTAAATTTCAAAATGTATACAAAATATAAATCTGACTTTAATTTTTGGAATGTTATTTTTTCCAGTAACTATCCATAAAGTTCTCAAAATAAGAATTGAGCACTGTGCTGCATTTCCTCTGTGCTCATTCTAACAGTTTATTTTAAAAATCTGAACTTCACCAGGGCCTCCTCCTTAGCAATAGACATTAAATCAATGGATCAGTGGTCCAAGCACCAAACCCTTGCTAGGGATACGGGGCAAAATACACCCTAAATCTACTGCAAGACACAGATCACATACAAGCTATTGAAGAACACTTAGAATAATCCCTGCTCTTATTCTCAAAATGGCTTCTAACAAAATGTATCCTCAGATGTAATGAGGCCATTTTTCTCATCTGAATTGTAATTCAAGCCCAAGAAGTATATTCATTTGCATGAAATATTCTTTCCAAGAAGTTCCTCCCAGGTGAGGAATTTTAAATGTGTTTCTTTTGACAGGGAAGGCAGACAAATGGCTTGAGCTGGTCAAAGGTTATATTTCTCCCAGCCAAGATATTCCAATTGGTTTCTCACTCCATGGGATCAATAAACAGTGGGCTTATACGCATGAAACTTTCCCAGGCTCACCGATGCTAACACAGACCATTTCTTCAGCTTCCCCCAAGGTAGGGCGTTAAATCCTGACATCCCTGAAATATGTACAGTAACGGAAACAATGAAAGGATGAGCGTGATAGAGACAAACTCAGCTCAGCTGTGCCCTCGAGACAGTTGTTCAGCTCAGCTCACTCCTTCTTCTCATGCCACGGAACACGGGCCAAATTTAACTCCGTCAGCAAGAACAAATCCTCATTTCTGTCACAGCCACGTTCACCCCAGACAGGACCAAAAGAAAAACGAGCAGAATCAATGTGACAGAGCAATCACTATGAGTCATACAAACCCAAAGGGCCTCAGACCTGCAGATGAACACAAAGTCTGAAAGTGTTTTGATGCTGTAATCTCCATTTATAGACTTCCTCAGCAGTGCAGCTTCCAGTGGGCAGACTGGGAATCCATCCCAGCCATGCCTGTTCTCCAAGCATTAGCTTTCAGCTCTCTCACCTGCTCACGCGAGGGCCAGGGGATGCATAGATCACACATTT